ATATATGTGTGTGTGTGCGCGGGTGTGTGTGTGCGTGTGTGTGCGTGTGTGTGTCTATGCGTGTGTGTGTGTGTGTGTGTGTGTGAGAGAGAGAGAGTGCGTGAGTGTAGGTATACAAGTGAGTAAGCGAGAGGTAAGCGAGAGGGAATGTGAGAAAGAGATATATATATTTATTTGATTTCTACATTAGATAGCATAGGGAAACGCTATGCACATGCCAAATTTTAGTACGAGCATGGGATCAATCGGTTGTGACTCCCCAACAAACAAAATTTTGACCAGAGGAAAAATACAGTAATCAATCGTGGTAGTTTATTTCTTTGGCTTCTGCGTGTACGTTATACACAACACACAAACTCGCCCGACACATTAGAAGCCATACAGCGCTTTTAGACCACTGATGCCTCCCCCGGATTGGAATGATCCGTATGACGCTGTGCATAGCAGTGCAACAAGCGCGATATCCAATGTGATCACACCGACTAGCCGACCCCCTGGACCTGCCTTCAGGTAACCCGCAGAGTAGATGACACGGCCCACCATGTACTGCACAGCCAGAGCTGGAGTGGTCCGAACCGAAAGAAAGAAAGAAAGAAAGAAAGAGATGAGAGGATGCGCCTACGCATTAGTGGGCTGAGATGCTAATTTGGTGTACATACAGGTATGTATTCGGATATACGCATATGAAATGATGAAGCTCTGAGAATCAATAGGGATTGGTCCTTGATAGAAGCAGGATATGGGTGCTTGTGGTAGCAAGACAGTAGGGATTGGTCCTTGATCGATGTAGGGAATGGGTGCTTGTGGTAGCAAGACGGGTTGCAACGCGCGACTGCAGAATGTATTGATGCAATGAGACATGCCCAAATAAATATAATATGAGACAGCACCGCACGATATTAGACAAACAACAGTAAGAGCACACGAGTCACAAACTACACGATTATTTGGTACACAATTCCGAATTGAAAATTAAACACAAAACACAACAATAGACACATGCGACCAGCTAAACCGCTTACCGACAGTCGCAGCCGGATAGAAGAATCCTGAGATCAGAGTGAGCGTAGATACGGCGGTGATGGACTCCAAATAGTTGTAGTGTGTGCGCTGTGCGTTGTTGAAGCTGTACCACGAAGCGAAGTCGAGCTTCTGACTGAGTTTGCCGCTACCCATATCTGGGTAGCCCATAACGACACCGTGCTCCTTCACCTCTGCTGGGAAGTTCTCCTTCAAGAACTCCTGTGTATAGAGTATTGCAGTGGTACACATAGGACAGGTGGATGATTGAGTGGATGGCTCGGTGAAATTGGAGTGAACATAAAAGGGTTTATCGAGAGGATAAACTAGTGTAATTCGACAAAATCATGTGGTGTGGTGTAATAATATATATTGTCCACATATACACCGATGTTTATATATCCAAATATACTTAACCCAAGCCTCCATCTCTGCTAAAAGATTTGAATCTAGCAACGCGTGAGACCTGCACACGAGACGTACATACAAACACACAGAGGGGAAATCAGATATCTACAAAATTATGTGCCACCAAACTATTGCATGAAATGAAGGGGATAGCACAAATACTAAATGTGTTCTATGGTCTTACAAACATTGATCCTTGCAAATATAAAAATTGTGTCTACGAGATATAACAAATAGATTGAAAACTCGAAGCACATATTCACGTGTGGTTGTTCGCGACATGTGAAGACAAATAATATTTTCACATTCCCCCGTTAAACTGGCTTTCCATAGACTCAAACTAAACGCTCTCAACGAATAGATGACTTGAGAAATGAACACCAACGTGTCAAACTAACAGAAAATCGGAAGAAAAACATAGTTAGTGCAAAACAAGAGGTCATATAAGGCTTGTGATTCTCTTCAAACTACGCGTTAGAAAAAATTATATGTACATTCATAAAGACATAATATATATATATATATATATATATTTATATATATATATGATATGTATGTACATGTATAAATAT